ACAGAGGAGACAGTGTGAGTTGGATAACGTTTAATGCGGCGATGAGGCTACAAGAAGCGGCAAGCTGTAACTGCAAATTTCCCTTCCAGCCCAGTGTAAGCCACGAAGTGTACGCATGCGCTTCGGCCTTCTCCTCCAGCAACCAATCACCAAAGGGTTCCGAGTCGATTGGCGTAAAGTTCTCACCAAAACGATGCCAAGTCAACCACGACCCGAGCAATCGATTGAGAAGGTGAGGGTTAGGCGGAGTCGCGCTGGCGACAGCGAAAGCGGACTGCCACGGACCCCTTATAGCTGACGTCCATCTCTACGATTCCCGGCGTCTCTGTGCAACTTCCCAGTGAGTCAGAATTATTCACCATCCCTGTCAACAGTTTCAGACGCACCGATCTCACCCTGAACACGCCATCCCTTTGAACAATGCGACACAGAACATTGGACAAGAAGACACTTGAGCCTGCTTCCCAAAACCTATAAAGGTCAGTCAGTCAGTCAGTGTATTTGAGGGAAATAGGCTTACGCCTTCGAACTCCCTATTCGTACATAAAAAATCGATGAAATAGGCAAAAATGTGAAGAAATTATAGCATTAAGTGAATACAGATATCGATTCACATAGGTCACCGGTTTTGTGGTTACAAAGTCACGTAGTCCGCTTGTTGCTGCAGCATATGTCTGTCAGGCCGACATTTAAATGTCTCCACAGATTGAGGCATAACAGTCGTCTCCGGCAGGTTATTCCACGGTTCCACGACACGGTTGGAGAAGAAATACTTCCTCACATTCAATCTACCTTGGGTCACACGTAGCTTAAAGGGATGTCCCCCAGAGGTTAATTGTAGTGGCGAGTTGGAAAAATTCGTCGCACTGGAGGGCGCTGTCCAAGCCACGCACGATACGAAGGGTTTGTATCAAGTCTCCGCGCAACTGCCCATAACTCAGAGGATAGAGTTTCAGGTTAGTTAGACGGATATCGTGTGGCAATGCACTTTAACCTCTTATTAATTTTCTTGCTTGCCCTTGCACCTTTTCGAGCAGATTTGAATCTTGCTGCGTCCACGGTCTCCAAGCCTAAATCGCATATTCGAGATGTGGTCTTACAACGTGACGAAGACTTTGGAGAAGCAGTCTTCATTGAAAACTGCGAATGCCCGCTTGATGGCATATAGCGTTGAAGTTACGGCCTTTGCCGCCTTACAACATTGTGTAGAAGGCTGTAGGCTGTCTGTAACCCAGACTCCGAGATCGTTCTGTGTTTCTACTTCTCGGAGTGGCATTCCGTTCAGATGGTATTGTCGCGTACTAGGGGTCTGATTTCCGAGGCGCAGTATGGTGCATTTGTTTAAATTGAAGGACAAGAGCCATTTGCTGGACCACTCGTTCAATCGACAAAGATTTTCTTGGGCGTTTATCTTATCGGGAGCATTCTGGATGACATTCCAGATTTTTATGTCATCTGCAAACATGACACTATCACAGTTCAACCCATCTACACAATCATTGATGAACAAGAGAAAGAGGGTTGGTCCGAGCACCGAGCCTTGTGGGACTCCACTCTCTATGAATGTGCGCCTTGATTGCTGTTGTACTAATCAGACAATCTGGGAACGGCCGAGAAGGAAAGTCTCGATCCATTAGAGAAGTTTGCCGCCGATGCCCATTATTCTTAACTTGTGCAGGAGGCGCTGGTGCGGAAAAATGTCGAATGTCTTCCAGAAGTCAATATAGGCCACACGCACAGCGTGCTCTGCGTCCAGTGCTCTTGTCCAACTTTGCATTGTATATGGAAAGTTCGTTACACATGATCTTCCCCTATGAACACCGTATTGTGCATTGGGCAAGAGGTTGTTGGTTTCCAAATAAGCCATCACCTCCTTTTTTATGGTTTTCTCCATCACTTTGCGGCAGATTGATGTCAGACTGACGGGTCTGTAGTTCGTCGCAAGAGCACGACTGCCGCTTTTGTAAAGAGGTGTAATGTGAGCCGTCTTCCAGTCTGTGGGAAGGATTCCAGCATCAAACGATTTCTGGCACAGAAAGGATAGTGGCTTGGCCAGCTGTCGGGCATGCTGAAAGAGCAGCTTTGCTGGGATCTCATCCGGATCGGGAGATTTACACTCCTTCAAGATTTTTAGTTCTTCCAAAATCGCTTCCTATCGAACCGCAATATTTTCAATAGTAGGATCTCCCATGTTCTCGGAAATAGATGAAATAAAGTCTGCTTCTCTTGTGAAAACGGATTGGAAAAATTGAGAAGAATGCTCAGCTTTATTTGTATTGTTCGATATCTCCAAACTTTTATCATTCCTCATGACAGGAATGCGATTCCTGTTACGTGTGCTCTTCCGCAAATAGCTCTAGAGTAATTTCGGATCTATAACGACTTGGTGGAGCAAATTACTCTCGAAGTCCCTTCGCCTCCTGAAAATCAGGCTTTTCACCTTATTTCTTTGAACTTGATACTCTGTAAACGCTGCAATGTTGTTGTTTTCGCGAAAGTTCTTCCGCAACCTTCCTTTTTTGATCGCTTTTTTGAGTTCTCGTGTTAGCCACTGAAGTCGGCTGGATGTCCTAGGCTTTGATAAGGGACAGTGGCTACTCATTGGATGAAGCAACCGATCCTTAAATAAATTCCAATCCTCGTTAACTTTTCGGAGAAGAGAACATCCCAGTCTATCTGTGAAGCCTCAGTTCTCATTTGACAAAAGTTTCCTTTCCATATATTTGGCCTCGTATCGTCTTTTGTATACGGTTCAGAATACAGCTCGTAGTCTCATAAAAGTACTGCATGACCACTTCGACCGGGTGGGGGTAGGAAGTACACCTCGTCTATACTGTCAGGATCTTTGGTGAAGACGAGGTCCAGACAACTGGCCTGTTGTCCTCCACTCGCTCTAGTTGGAAACAGGACACGTTGCGGGAGAAGGACTTCTGAGATTGTAAACGGTAATCGAAGGCATTCTTCGAGCACCTCGCATGCATATCGTCCCACTAAATGCAAAGTGCATTATAATCCGCCATGAGAACAACGTCTGGCCGACTGTCGATCTCTTTTATGCTTTCCAGTAGACAATTACCTGGGTCGGGATCCATCCGGGGGGGTCGGTAGAGAGTTACGACTTCGAGGGACTGAGACCCTTGTCAGCCAAATTGTCTCTGTGTCGTCTGGAATTATGTCGGTCCTCTCACACACTGTTAAGTTGCTCTTAACATACATGGCGACTCCTCCACCCCGGCGGCCTCTCCTGTCTCTCCTAAACAATTGGTATCTTGTTAGTGCTACCTCGCCATTACCTACGTTCTCTGACAGCCACGTTTCTGTTATTGCTATAACATCCGGAGGCGTATCGGCCACCTGTATTCTCAGTTCGTCAAGCTTAGAAAACAGACTCTGAGCATTGGTGTAAAGAAATTTAATGTTGCAACATTCGACAGTGCTTCGTTCGATTTGTCTCGGGTTTGCCAATATTATGTTGCTGCCGCCATCATGATGACTGGCTCGTTCCAGAGCAACATTGCATTCCTCTTTATCACTCGTCCCCTGAAAATAGTCAATTTGCTCTCTCTAGCTGCAAGTCTCCTCTTCAGCTCCGTCCCTAATTCGCGGCGCTTCAGACGTCCTGCTGGAGAATAGTTCGGCTGAAATAACACTTCCTTGGGAGAGTTTCGTAGGCTGCTTTTCCTGACAGAAGTAAGCTAGCCTCCTCTTTACGGCCCAAAATAATTTTCAGAGGTCGTGGCCGCACCTTTTCCGATTGTTCGTTCGCCTTCTTTCCTATCCTGAGGGCTGCGCGAATGGTTACTTTTTCATTCGAATTCAGCATTTTTTCAATAGGTGTTGAAACATATCAAGGTCGGCGGAAATCTTCTCCTTCGGGGTAGGAGCATCCGACTCCGATAGACCCTGGACGACTACGCAGTGCTGACGATCAAGGGGTTCATTTGTTCTGTTTCCGGCCGCCTTGTCAGGTGAAGGTCTTAGGAGATCCAGCGGAGTCTTATGGGGCTTTATACTCCTGTTATGGTGCATCCCCATTCCACCTTGCCACGAGCTTGTTTCCTCACTTCCAACCGAGGGTTCTACTGAACACGCGCAATGGCTGAGAGAAGTTGATGATTCGCTTCGGTTGTCTTCCATAGAAACAATAGAAGTCACTGTCTCAGTCTGCCTCGAACATGAATTAACACCATCACCACGCGCCCTGGCCTCGCTGGAGGCTCCTGTTGCTCAACAGCACGGGTTCTGCGCACCGTAAACGCCGCGTTCAAGTCTCTTTTCTCTCATCTTGTTAATCGGGACACTGTCCGATTATTGTTGTGCTTCAGGGCGCCACACCCTCGCCAAAACGGCAGCAATGATAGCGCGTGGTTGACTGGAGGTTGGATCACTGGCAGATGGCCAAATGCAGTAGTCAGTGGTAAATTGGGGACACGAGGCAGGTCTGTGGCGAGCGCTAAGGACAGAACTGTCAATCCCAGACTATGGATATCAGGATAAGACCAGAGTTATGGAAGGATTAACAATCAAATGTCAAACGACCCGATAATCCAACAGATGTCGAGCGCGTCGCGTTGTGTCGTGTTCCTTCCATTCAGTTAAACAACCAGTAAGTTCAAGAATGATGGACAGGCAGGTAAAAGGCAAGATAGTCTGGCTCCTCAACATATTACCCCCCCCCCCAGACCGGAGGGCAGCGAAGACGACGCCGAAGGATGTGCACAAGTCTAAAAGAAAAGAGTGACCAACCGATCAGGAGAGTGTACGTGACGACCACTGTGAGTGATATATACAGGGTCCGTAGAAGAGTGCATAATCTGCTGGCGGGAGTGTTGGAGTTAGTGGTGGCAGTCGGAGGTAGCGGACAGGAAGGCAGAGGGGGAAAACGGGACGGTGGAATAGAGGCTGCAGGTGGGGAAGCAGAAGGTAGAGGACCACAGGGCTCATCCGCAGGAGTATCCGGGACTGCAGCCTTGAGGCGGTCCTCACTCACGACCTCTTCACTATTGTCGCGTTGATTGCGGAAAGTCTTCGTCCCGGAATGGGCCGTTATAGGGCGGTTCCAGAGGCCGGCGGACTCGATCACATCGAAGGTAGACGTGAGAGCACGTTGCCAAGTCCTTCTCAGGATAAGACGGAGAGGCGGAGGACCTGGGCAGAACAAGGGAAAGTGTCCGCATAAACTGCCGGAGACGATGCAGGAGGTTGGTGGGATCCGCAACTGCACCTCGCGGGGTTGGCGAGATCACTTCACCGGGGAGTCGGACGGTGGCGCCGAACACCAGTTCAGCTGCGTAACAGTCAAGGTCCGGCTTGGTAGCGGAGCGGATGCCAAAGAGGACCAGGGGAAGGTGGTCCGTCCAGTTCTCGGGGTCGACCGCGGCGCGTAGGGAGGCCTTCAACTGGCGGTGAAACCGCTCGGCCATCCCATTAGCAGCCGGGTGATAGGCTGTCGTCCGGATGCGGGTACAGCCTAAAAAGGAGAGGAAAGACTGGAAGAGGTTAGACTCAAAGTGGGCACCACGGTCAGTCGTGATTGTGGAGGATGCACCAAACATAGCCACCCAACGACTGAGGAAAGCCTTGACCACCGTTTAAGCAGCAATGTCAGGCAGGGAAACAGCTTCAGGCCACCGAGTGAACTGATCCACAGAGGTGAGGAGATAGGAAAAATCACTGGACAGAGGCTGGGGGCCTGCAATGTCGGGGTCACCACTATGGCGAGCGCTAAGGACAGAACTGTCAATCCCAGACATTGGATATCAGGATAAGACCAGGGTTATGAAAGAATTAACAGTCAAATGTCAAACGACCTAGCAATCCAACAGATGCCGAGCGCGTCGCGTTGTTGTTGTGTTCCTTCCATTCAGTTAAACAACCAGTAAGTTAAAGAATGATGAACAGGTGAGTAAAGACAAGATAGTCTGGCGCCTCGGCACAGGTCACTCGTCCATTATCATCCCGGTGGGCAGAATTTATCGAACGGGGCGGCCTGCGAACCAGTCTCTGCCTGCCATGTGAACTAATTACACGGTGTGCGTATCTGACGTGAGATGGCAGCAGCTTCACTGCGTAAACCCTGATCACCCTGAAGTGCCAGCAGTCATGCGAAGTTTATGGGCGTTTCTGTGGGTGTGTGCTGGGAGCGGCGGCGGCGACACTCAACGCTGATTACACCATCTCGAGTGCAGTTAACCTAATGTGCCAGGTGGCACGACCAATCCGAACGGTCTCTGTCACGAGTTGCCACAGAGAACTAAGTCACATGAATGCGGTTTTCGCCCGTAAAACTGACCAGCACAAGAATCCGGCAGGCGTTACCAGGACTGCGCACCCATAAAAATTGCCAGCATTTGGGTGTGGTGGCAGGCACAGGTGATGACCCACGTTGCTCTAATTAGGATCCGTCCACCCCCTCATTTTATTGGTGCGTAAAATCCTGGTCAGTGTACGTTGTGGACCAGGGGGTGTGGTGGTACGTCTGAGTGTGGGTCCTCGCCGTGCCAGCCACTAGCGCCCTCTCCTGCCTCTGGTCTTCTTGAATCTGTCTTGCCCAGCTCCGAGAGCATGTTGCAACGCTAAGCCTCTCACGACTATATGTACGTGCGCACCAATAGCCGTCTGGTTATCGGCAAATGCCGGCTGCACAAACTGACCAATCGCCTTCGAGGCTGACTCAGACATGACTTCGCTGAAGGCGCTGGACGGCTTATTCATTGTGTCACACGCAGGACGCCGCTCTCCAGGCGCTGGGTGGCCCCTCGTCCGGCTTTCAACTCACTCCAAACCCTCTTTCAGCTATTTTGAACAGAAAGCACTACTCTCGCAAATGGCGTCTAACTCCTCCTTCCATTCGGGACTGGGTGTGAAGGTCGAAGTGGCCAGAATCTCACTGTGGCCTAAAGTGCTGCAACAATAGGGCTCAGGTGGGGGCAAGGAGGACAGGGGCATTAGATGCTGCCCAAGTCACCATCCCCGTGCCACCATGTTGTAGGGCGCCTAGTGAACATCGTCGGCAACGACGGTCGAGCTGTCTTAGTTGCAGTGAAACTGGTGCCACTTAAGCCGCGGAAGATTCCCACGACAGAGAGCAAATGGAAAACGGAACTGGTTGTTTTCATAACATTCTTTTCATATCAGCACCAGTTGAGACACGTCCTCACGGAAATATCGGGAAGGCAGGGCTTAATCTTGGGTGTTTGGGCGAGAAAGACAACGCTCTATCCAGTGCACCACTGGCTGAATGACTCCGATCAACCCATCTTTGAAATAATGACCCTACCCACGTGACAGGAAATCCAGTCGCTCCGTAGTCTGCAGCAAATCAGAACCACTCTTCAGTAACCGCCTCTCAAAAGGCTGACGCACTCACACAATGTGCACTAGATTGACAGACACAGAAGCGTACGTTATCACAGATGTAAAATTGGCTGCCGCTCAGAGGCAAGTCGAATCGAAGGTCCATTCAAACTAAGCAGCCGACTCCTTCGAGCGTCACCCGTTTGAGAACTTGAACCAGCAGACGTCAATAAATCAGGGCACTTTGTAGATACGACCTGGCAGCGGCTGAGTCGGCTTCTTGCTCTGCAGAATGTCGGAGGAGCAAGTGGAAAAGAGCAACATTTGACTCCTAGTCCCCCATCCAGATGACCGCTCAGGCGAAAGGCTCATTGAATAGTGATTGTGGAAGTGGGATCGTCGTCGACGTGAAGTTTTCCCAGTCAGGTCAGAGGGAGGCAGAATTAGTAGGTCAGCCTGCACTCTGACCGCGAACATACAAGCAGCTCCGAAGCCAGAGGCAGCAACTGTTCCACCGCACGGCGGGTTAGCCGTTGTTCTTGCTCTTACAGTGTTAGGTGTAGGCGTGCGGCTATGCCATGTCCCGTTATGGCCAATCGGTATAGGCCAAAATATCGACCGGTGTCACCGTGCGGAGGGGCTGAGTAACACACAGTGCAAGAATTGAACTGGCCAATGGGAATCCCGTCGCTTCCGCAAAGACCGCTTCCATCGTTAAATGTACGAAAATTCGCTAAATGCAGGACTTCTCCCGACGTCTAGTTGTCTTCTTATAAATAAGTCGCTGGATTTAAGGCGTCTCTAGTACAAGTTAGCTGTTATGTCCCCGCCTGGTACCCAGAATTCGCGTGGAGCGCGGCAGAGAAGGAGAGCGCGACCGGCCACGAAACAGTGTATTAGGAAACTGCAAGTCCAGTCTAACTGGGAAAGTAACGCGTATTTATAACATCTTACTGGGATTCGCCTGAATTCGGCAAAATGCACTTTGAGAAGAAAATTATAGACAAGCTGATCGATAACTCGCATACACGGGTCGATCAGGCTCGAGGAGAGTAGCCAATGGCGAGGCGTCACGATTATGCTGACAGCGCGGTAGAGAAAACCCGCGTGACCTCCAGTGATTGGCTGGCAGGTGTTTTTGAGAGTGTTGGCACTGCCTACACTAGCTTAATCCTGGTGAGTAATTATCCTACGTGCGAGTACTGATGTCTTAGTTCTGAATGCATTGTTCACCTGTAGGTCACAATGCAACGCATGGGGGGCAGTCTACACCGAATCGTCCGGGTCAGGTTAGCTCAGGTCAAATACCGCCGAAGGATACCACAGAATTTTGGCTTATAGCTTGGAAACGTCGAAATGAACAGAGACGATGGCTAATTGCCTTTCAAAAGACTTCACCTCTAGGTTGGTAGAAGGCGTGGTCAAAATGGATGAGAATACTACGGTCCAGTACAGACCACAGGCACGGCCCAATGTACCGTGAGAGACCGATCTCATGAAATGGTGGCCAAAATTCTGAAATGCGTTTTCGATTAGGAAGGATTACTTAGGCGCGTTTGTAATACTGCCTATCTTGCGGCATAATCCTATAGCATTTTAGACTCGCCAGAATGTCGGCTTTTGAATGCACTTCCTTTCGATCTCCTGCAAAACCCAAACTCGGTAACAAATGATTACTTAAGTAGCATGCCTTTTTTCTATTGATTTCCGATGTCCCTTTAAATTGGAATATCCTCTATAGAACACATGCACAAAATATGCTTTCTTTTACTCGTTTGGTAGGAAATCACGTCATCTTCCCATTTTACACTCGAAGAACGGGCATCTCTCGGTTTTAAAAAAGTTTCTAATTATGAGCTTTTTTAAGACCGTGCAGTGTCCATTCATACAGCATCGCACCTGTCCGTTCATCAATACTCTTCATAAAACGTACAAAGTGGCTTTCATCATTGCAAAATAGTATGAACTCTTTAGGACATCTTCTTAGAAGCATAAGGAAATATATGATTTTCTTTACGCGACAAACATACACCTTGTGCATTGAAATCGATGAACGCTTATGCGATGGTTGATCAGGCTAAAAATTATTCTGAAACTTTCTTAAAGACCCAAATACACCCCTTCTTCAACCAAACGAGTAAAAGAAAGCATATTTTTAGGAATGTTTTCTATGAAATATATTTGAATTTATAAGACTATCGAAAATTAATGTGAAAAATGCATGCTAGTTAAATGATCATTTTTACCGAGTGTGGTTTTTACTGGGGGTCGGCAAGGAGTGCATTCAGAGGCCACCATCGAGGTAAGCCCTAAATACTATAGGATGCTGTCGCATGACAATCAGTATTACAATCCCACCTAAGTAATCCTTCCCAATTGAGAACGCATTTCAAAATTTCGGCCGACACTCACTTACCTATCAAAAAGTAAGGCGAGACCGCTTACGAAACAACCGCACCGCCAGTCTGATGATAAACAAGCGTATGTCTCTCGAATTTGCAGACTCAAAGCAAAACTGTCCTTATGGTGTTGGCCTCCTACGTACGCATCTCAGTTACCTGCTAGGCCTTGTTTTTCTGCAAAGGGTTTTCGTGGGGCTTATTTTGAGTCGCATCAAGCAGGTTGGATGTGACGCTTTTTGTTCTGGGCGTCATTCACAATGAGCGACAGAAGACGACAAGGCAGGTCATTAGTAAGAACTGAGACCAGTTCCCGTGGAGGACAAGTCCACCGTGCGCATCCCACTCCCGTCAGATGTTTAGTATCCATGTGTTTTCTGTTCTCAAAAGTTAAATTCTGACAGGTTTTGAATTGTTTTGAGGGTATTCTTACCACTGGAGTATGCAAAGGGTTGGGCCTGAGGCACACCACTGGTCAGGGCCGCTATGTACGCTAAATGTTCTGATAGTCTTTCCTTGGGCTAGAATGTAGGTCGCAATTGACAGGGAATGTTTCTGAGGATGAAGATGCGATCACTGGAACAAGAGCTTTATTTGCCTGACGTTTCGGATTTTCACTCAAATCCATCATCAGAGACATTCGCAGATGAAGGTGATGGTGGTACCAGGAGTGCAGTATTTATAGCACGTGGCTGCTATAAATACGGTCCACGGCAGCCACGTGCTATAAATACTGCACTCCTGGTGCCACCATCATCTTTATCTGCGAATGTCTCTGATGATGGATTCGAGTGAGAATCCGAAACGTCAGGCAAATAAAGTTCTTGTTCCAGTGATCGAATCTTCATCCTTTGATCTGCTAACTGGAACTCGCCTGTTCGCTTCTATCAGAATGTTCCTGAATTAGTGTTAGGCGCCTGGTGACATATGATGATCGACAAGACCACTTACCTAGATACTGCGGCGAGATCAAAGAGCTGAACAGACTTCTTTTCTGCTGTTAGCGTTGTTTTGGTGATTCTGTCAGAGTTCATGGCTGGTCATGGCTGCGCGACTCAAACCAAAGATGGATGAAACCCAGTCGACCTAGTGCCCTGGTGACTTTTGCAACCGCATTTGTGTCATTTCTTAGGGACAGCCTGAGTCTCTCTACCCCTGCAGAAAGATTGTTTACGCCTCTAGGCTCAGCACGGGATCATCACTTTGGGGAAAGTTGTTCATTCTGAGTCCTGAGCTGTACGTCGCAGTAGAAATTCACTGAACCCTAAATTTCCCTGTAGAATAAGAGTATAATGATAAAATTATATGGTACCTCGAGTGCCCACCTAAACCAGCTTATTTTACACAACAACAGTGCATCACCGTCAATACAAGACTAAACTTAGTGGTGTTTTATGCAGGAATATGCGGAATTAACGACCCCACCCTCCACTCGATTACGAGGAATAAGTCCAGGTCCAAGACTGTTGGACCAATTTGCTCAACATGATTTAGGGTAACAGTCGTGATCATTTGTATCCAAAAGAAGCTAACCTAAAGTCTGCTGTGGGTTTCAGGGAGTGGTGGTGGTGGTGGTGGTGGTGGTGGTGGTGGTGGTGGTGGTGGTGGTGGTGGTGGTGGTGGTGGTGGTGGTGGTAGGCCTAGGTGCGGGTTTACGCCGTGCCAACCACCTGCGGTCTCTCTCACCTCCAGTCTTCTTGGCTTGGTCATGATTCTTGGCACAGTTGTGGGAGGAGGACAGAGTGCGACAGATGCAGTGCAAGCGTACTATAATTATCAACTAATTCATGCTTAAGTCATCTTCCCTGCTCTCACCCTGTTGCGGTGCACACGGTAGACACCGTCGGCAACGACGGTCAAAGTGTCACGACTTACCACTGAGTCCATCGCTTTTACGTACCGCCTTTTCGAGTGGCACATCGCCGACGTGTTCACCCACATACCACTCCCACAAAAAAACTAGCGGGAATTTTTTCCAGGTCCAGTATTTCCATACTGATAGTATTGCCCGTCATGCCAACCTTGACGCACACTAGGAATGCCACTGGTCGTCTGTGCCCACGTCAAGGCAACAATGTGAGCCCGTTTATGTCTACCGTCCCCTCAACCCAGCCCCTTTTTCGCGGACGCTCCGCCCGCACATTATGCGAGTTGTTTTTTAAGTTGCGCCGCCTTCCACCTTTGAGTGCAAGAACCCCAACTCCCCCCTCTCGCCCACCTTACTTCACTTTGGCTGATGGTGTAAACAACTCATCTTTTCCGTAGGATGTGCCTACGAGCGCACAGGCAACGACAAGTCGTGACGAAAACCTTCTCTTCTGTTAACGCGTTCGCTCAGTTTCTCTTACCGCCACAAGAGCGGATTGCTGAAGGCGTAGCTAAACTCTCACAGTGCGGTTCCATAGCAGTTTCAATGCAGCATGCTCTATAAATACTCAATTTTGCCTAAAAACAACTGTCAGTTGGATAGACTGAGTTACCGAGCGGTTAGAAAGGGCATCAACAGCCTCTCTACCATTATGATCCTCGCCGAACCTGTCTTAAAATGTCTGGTAAGAAGACGCCATTCGAGGTCTCAAAACAAGACTACGGCTACGTTTCATTAATCGCGTTCTGAAGCCATAGGTTGCAATCAGAATGAGAATCCACCCAGGGGGCTTAACGGAGTCTTACTCGTGAAGAGGCGTCCGGTGACGCCTTCCTCTGTACAAAGGCTAAGTGACGGCAACCCAGAGATAATTGTGCATCTCTGAAGCTGAGGCAATCTGCAAATACTAGTGACACATATATAAGTTACATCAGAATGTTTTTAACCCACATCTTCCGGCATAGCACCAAGACGGATGGTTCGCATAGGACAGAGCTGGTAAACGGGTAGTGTCTACCGGGCTGGCGGATGCCCTACGGCGTTTTGTGAAAAAAAAATGCCTCGGAGAGCACAGAGTGAAGAACAAAAGGACGCCGAGAAATTCTACACTCCTCCTTGAGCTTTGATGCACCGAACAGCGATTGTGCGGGTATCGGAAATACATCTTGTAGTTCCAAGCTCCGAAGGTGGGCAGCACAGCACAGCAGTTTCAAGTTCCTTCACTACACTAAACGTCAAGGGGAGCCGTTATCGATGATCGGCAGCATCTGCCACTTTTTAATGCCACTTTCGTCCGTAACTTTGCTACAGATCACCAATTTTCCAGATCGGTGGTCAAACATGTCTGAAACTGTTAGCGCTGCGTGATCGGTTATTCGTCAGATCAGAAGGCTCGTTGTATACTTCTGTAAGCCCCTTCCCTGAATGGTGTTCAACCATCCGCCATCTGCTGATGCTTTGGGGAGGCAATCGATAGGCAATTAGACGGCCGACGCTAAATCTTCACCACGCTAACTCTTGACTAGTAAACTGCCTGTTTGCGGGACAATACTCGCGCATGGTCCCATTATCCCATTGTGTCGAAGAAGCTTTAGGCAGGCTGTCTGACAGGCCATTTTAAGGTTCTTGAGCCCATCTTGTCATCACGACGCCGCAGGACGAGTCTGAAAATTCATTCGGTTGCCTCAAGGACCGGAGAACTCCATTACAGGCATTTGCTACTCTCCTCTGCTTCAGTCCTGAGTGAAGAGTCGGACCAGATTTCTATGCTGCGTTGACTTTTCATAATTTGGTGACATCAAAGCGTCTCTCAATAGACATTTTGAGTGAGGACAAGTAAACTTTCAGGTATGTGGTCCAATCGATCACGCACAGATCTGCCACCATGATGTCCTTCAGCTGACTAAAATGTAGGCAATGTGACTGGCTGTTCGACCACTGTGTAAGTGCCATGTTAGCATGTAATCGGTCCTGGTCAATGAATCTCAGCATTCTTTGGGCACTGTCCCAGCGAGAACAAAGTCGAAAGCAGCTAATGAGGGGATCGCTAAAGATGTTACTAGGTTTAGTCTAATCTTCAAAGTCCCCCGCGACAGTCAGTAGACCAATACACGAATCTATCAACTAGTGTTTGAAACTGAAAGATCCCTTTGTCACGCTGGTCCACCGGTGATGTTGGATTGTATATGGAGACGATAAAGATACTGTTAAAGTGCCCCCCAAGTCGTATGTAAACTAACTGGTCACTGATTGATCCTCGCACAAGCACTACATGGACCGACCATTGCGAGAGAGTGGTTGTGGCAGTCCGCGCCTCCTTGTTCTCCGCTGCTTTGTCACGCTGCCTACCTATCCGTCTCATACTCCCTGTCGATCCACTGCTGAGGTGCGCGAGGCTTGTCACTAGCTTCGCGAGTGCTAGAGGTCAATCAGCGCTGCCCCTTCTCTGATTGGCTGGCGGCCACTGAGACAGTGAAAGGCGCACACACGCGCTGGGGGGCGGAAAACCTCGACAGCGGACACAGGCAACACAACTGGCCCGGAGAGACCGCTCGCGTCGACTGCTTGCGGAGCCTTTGTGTACACTTCCTCAACAGTAGGAGTTGTCCGATCCAATCCGTCTCCCCTGACTTCTGATTTGAGAACCTCTGTCTTGTCGACCATACTATCCCGACATGGTCGCCCACAGAGCGCCTACGTAAACAGTCGTGTCGGCCGCTATGAGAAAGGACGAGTTGGGCGTCGATCCAGGGATCTTGATGTCCCCAGAGCCTGAGTGGGGAGTTCAGACTTCATGAAGGCACCAGGCATCCTAGTTGCATCGATAAATACCGCGTGCGGTCATACTGTGGATACTGGAGTAGAGGAAAGTTCGCACATTCCGACACTCAATACCGAGGACCCGTTCTTTAGAGTCCAGCTTGCATGCTATTCACTCGGATAAAGAATTATGGATCGGATCGGCCTCCGTGAACGCCGTAGTGCTTCAATGGAACATCTTTCAAAACGCTTCGTGGGAATGTTAGATATGAGCGAATCCCAAGAGCCGCTCAAACTGTTCGTCCTAAGCTGTCTCTCCCAGCACTTTGACTCGGAAACCTGATTACCAGAGAACGGTGACAAGCAAATTTCTTTTACGGTGGTTCGCGGCCCTCGTGTCATCGGACTTAGTGATATGTTATGAGGCAATCGGTCTGCCGGTCTTAGCTCTGAGCGCCTCGGTAGCATTGTCGGTACTGGTACGCCACCGGTAATTCGTCGGATCTGAGAGCTGTAAGCCGTCTCACCATCTGTCATTTGGAGGCCCACAGGGCTACCACTGAATAGGTAAACAGGTTAACCCGCCTTCCCGTAAATCCGGTCGCAAACGGAACACTATGGAAATCCGGATGTGAGGCCGAGTGACTTCATACCACTGTGTCGTTCGTCTTACTGAATGACGTGACGATTTAGGGGTCGATTTATTTATACTAACAACGCGGTAACGTTAGCAGGAAACACAATCTTGCGCGCAACTCGCGTAAGTGTTCGACAGCTCACTAATTGTAGTGAGTCGTCACGAGGTTCAGTGGAAGAAAAAGATTCCAATGTAGGAGGCTTAGGTCAAAGTTGTTATGGCCTATGCTTATGAATTCTATTAGCCACGCACTGTTGACATCTGAATGATCGTGTGGCTCGGTAAGCGGTGCCAACGGACAGGAAGGATTCTGCTGATGGATCAAGTTTTGGGAGTAGGGCCTCACCACTAAACAGGGACATCGACTGATGACTCAATAAAAAGTCGTCGTCTCAGCTGGTTGAATCATCTATTGCAAAGGAAAGGCCTTCCAGAACGTCTTATCTCCGGATCCCCGTCGGTCCCCAAAGCGGCGAAAAAGCGAAAAGTACATAAGAAGTTAGGTCAAGCCCACGCAGAGGGCTGGGTCGACGCTCTTCGATAGTGAAACTGGACAAAGACTGTTGATGCTCCAACCAGCGATGGAAGAACACGTACCACATTTGTAGTTGGTGCCGCGGGCCCCACAGCCGGCTACACTAGCACTAACGCCAGCTGATACAGGTATAGGGTGCCCACTTGGGGGTGTTTTGAGGCAGTAACGTTCAAAAGCCCACATTTTTGTCAACCCATGAGTTCTAGCCGTAGAGGACTAATCGGACAGACAACTGATTTAAGCGGCCAAAATGGCCGAATAACTTGCATAGTGGCAGAAAATGTGGACAGCGTCCTTTCAGGAGACATCATTTCCAGACTGCCTCTTTTCGAATATCGAGAAACGATGCCACCGGGCGATGGATTTTCACAATTTCACATACACACCAGTAAATTCGCAGGCCCGCCTTCAGAGACTAGAAGGCCGACAACCTAACCACTATATTGTCGTGCCAAAACCCGCCAAGTTTCTCATTTCATTGCCGGACATGGGTAGCCAGTGTACCCCTCTAACCTTGGCGCACATCATCCCTACTATCACCTTCTGTAAAAATGACTGACCTCACTCCGTTAACATGTGACTTTGGTCCTGTTAGGTATACCGCAGACGGGTTGATTTAATGGTTGACTGATCGGCGGTTTCCGCCCTATCGTCTAAAAACGGCAGTCCTCAACAACAAAGGGTTTTTGAGGCTAACCAGGGATACATCATCAAAAAAGATCTTTGCCGTGCTGGCGATTAACCAAATCGATATCACAAATCCCGCCTGCGTGGTACAGTATTCTGCAATTCTTCGTAGCTCGGTGCTAATGAGTTGATGCCAAACCGAATACTGAACGGCGGAGAGAAATTGCTAAGGAGTAGAACACGCGTTGGGGTTGAGTAGTAGGAGGCCTTGATCATGGCGATGATTTTAGCCGGCATACCATCTAGTTCCATTATTCGTCACAGGGACTCACGATTGAATGAATCGAACGCAGCGGCCAAGTCAACAAAGCTGACGGCGTCCGTGGTTGGTAGCTATGGCGGAATTAGAGAATAAGCCTCAATGTAAATATCTGGTCGGCGCATCCACGCCCAACTCGGAATCCGGTCTGACTAGGCCTTGTTTTAAAGTCAGGTACAGCCCGAAATCGCTCGAGAAGGACAGCTGCGAATACCTTCGTAGCAACGCCGATGAGGCTTATACCGCGATACTCTCCCATCTTGCCTTATCACCCTTTCTGAAGACAGACGCAAGGATCTCCGAACCTCAGCCATCTGGAACAGCCTGATCTAGCTGCGCTTGTCCAGAGCCAGGGCGCCAGAATTTCGACTCAAGACTTGTAAGTTTCAGTTGTAATGTCGTCCTCCCCCGGTGCCTTGTTGTTGATCAGCCTTTGTATTGCATCAGCGTGGCACTGCATAGCTGGAGGAATAAAACTTCGCTGCAGAGGAGAGCGAGGATGATGGGTCTTTCACCAAAGTTGAGAGTGTAATCGAAGTGCTTGGGCCAGCGATCGATCTTGGTAGAGTTGCCATCCGCATCGCCAACTGGCGGAATGAATCATCCGAGAAGACGGGTTGCCCGTTAGCCTAACTGCTGGCTACCCGGCGCGTCCACAGGTGGCGGATAGTGGGACGACCTTCAGTGAAGGTTAACTGCGAAATAAGCAGACCCAGGTCTGACGAATAAGCAGTCGCGGACCAGCAGCGACATTGCTACCAGGGTGCGGTGGGCTGAGGTCTTTCACGCTGAAAGTCTTATAAAAAGCCGCAAAACCCAATGACGGCATTGTGACATGGCGACCGTAAACCGCCATTAAACAGGTTTGCGTGCCACCGCTGCCTTGTGGTGAGGCTTTTAAGCCAAAGCGCTAGAAGAGACAACCTCGAACAAACAATCCGAGCGGCTGTTGGGGACCCGCCCGTATTCGAAATTCCCAAGAAACCTCATGAAATATGTCCGATCACAGTATCACGACCCATGCTACGGCGTCCGCGGGAACCGACGCGCTCCGCAACCCTGGTCCAGTGGTGCGGGCTAATAGTATGCGAGCTAGACCACTCAATCGGGGACGGACTCTCGGTATTGGATGCTGGAATGTGCGAACGTTCCTGGACCCCGGTACCCAAAGTCTGACCACATGCAGTCTTGATCAGTATAACGAGGATGTCTGCTGTCTGTCTGAAGTTCGACTCCCTGAAATAAAGATCCCTGGAGTCGAATCACACTTTACCCTGTACCACAGCGGTCCGCGCGACTCTTCTGGTCGACACGGTGTGACGATCGCCCTATCACAACAAGCGGACCTCGCACTACTTGCTTGGGAACCAGTCAATGACCGGGTGGCCTACGTGCGACTGAAGGGTCACTTCACGAACATCTCAATCATCTCTGTGTATGGACCAACTTCGGCTGCCAAACAGCGCGATAAAGAGGCGTTTTACTAGCAGTTGCAAGTGCTAATTGAAAGACTGTCTCGCCGTGATCTGCTGATTGCTGCTGGCGATTGGAATGGTTGAACTGGACCTGGCGACCCCACAACCACTCACCTTCTTGGCCGCTTTGGGCTTGGTTCCCGGTGTGAAAATGGTGAGAGGTTGCTGAACTTCGCTGATCGAAAGCGACTGCTCGTCACCAACACATGTTTCCAGCATCGCAAAAAAACATCGGCTGACCTGGTATTCAAACGACGGCCATACGGCCAGTCAGATTGACTACATACTAGTCAACTCAAGGTTCCGCAGCTGGGTTCACGATAGCAGATCGATGCGTGGTGCCGAGACTGGTAACGCCCATGGGTCAGACCATGTCCTCGTCCGTACACGCCTGAAAGTTTATCTCTCATCCGCGCCAAAAATGCCACGTCCTAGACGCCATGATGTCGCAAAAATCCGGCAAACCAGCACTGCCGAGGCCCTAAGCAGAGGAATCCCGACTTGTTTTACGATCCGAGCCGACGGAGAAGGCAGTCACCAGTGGTCGTCACTGAAGACGTCAATGGGGTAGCTGGGAAAATTCTTGGATACACCCAGCGACGCCGCAGTGACTGGATCAGCGGAAGATTCCTGCAGTCGTCTGCTCAGGCGGCTGGAGCCAGGTCCCGTAACGATGGCTGCTTCCGCCATCTTCGGAAGATGACGGCAAAATCGGCCAGGGATGACCGGAAGCAATATTGGGCTGAAATAGCGACCTCCATGGAACAGGCCTCGAACGCTGGTGACACTCGAAAACTATGCCAACTGATCCGCCAAGTTAGCGGTAAGCCCTCTACACTGAGTGACTCTGTTCGCGGCGTGAACGGCGGCTCTATTGCTGACAACTCGGCCAAAGTCGAACGTTGGCGTGATCGCGTCGAGCACCATCTCAACTTCGATACCCAACCTACCTCGCCCTAGCTCTCCTCTTCAGCGGAGTTTCTTTCCTCTCCTACCTATGCTGTGCCATGCGACCCCCCGCCCCCCTCTGAAGGAGGAGTCGTCGATGCCACACGAAAGTTGCACAACAATAAGGCACCCGGAGAGGACGGTATACCCGTTAAAATCTTCAAGTCTTGTGTCGACACTCTGGCGCCCTGGCTCCATGAGGTGATTGAGCGAGCGTGCAGAGTGAGGTTGTTCCTGATGACTGAGGCTTAGGCATCCTTGTACCTATCCTCAAGAAGACGAGATACGAGATGCGCGAACTACCGCGGCATAAGTCTCATAGACGATGCTGTGTAGATCTTCGCTATTGTCCTACTCAGGCGATTCCAGGCTGTGCGTGACTCAAGGACGAGGCCGAACCAAGCCGGATTTCGTGCTGGACGTGGATGCGCAGACCAGATATTCACACTGAGGCGCATTCTCGAATTTCGCCATAGATAACAACAACCGACGGCCGTCTGCTTCATTGACTTTGCCGCCGTGTTCGATTCCGTTCATCCTGAGTCCCTGTGGCGAATAACGGCGCTAGATGTGGTACCGGCAAAAATCATCGCCATGATCAAGGCCTATTAGCGCTCCACTACTGCGAGAGTCCTGGTCCGCAACAATCTTTCCCAACTGTTCGGTATTTGGTCTAGCGTTCGACAGGGTTGTATCCATGGCCGGGCTGCCGAATCCATTTAGGCCACACGAGCCCTTTGCAACAATCAGCAGATCACGAAGGGGAAGTATTGCAACTAATGCTTGCTGCTGCGAGTGAAAAATAACTTTGTCGTGTTGTACGGCAGTTGGTGTTGGTACATACGCGGAGACGACAGTGGTGTTCGTAAAGTTGCGCCTTGGTCGCACATAGGCCATTCGGTCATTGACTGGTCTCCAAGCAGGTAGTGCACGGTTCGCTTGTTGCGAGAGGGCGATCGTCACACTGTGTTAGCCAGAAGAGTCGCGTGGGTCGTCGTGATACACGGTTAAGTGTGACTTGATTCCTGGGATCTTTACCTTAGCGCCAGGGTCGGGGATTCGGACTTCAGACAAGCAGCAGACATCCACACTGTATTGGTGAAGACTGTGCTATCAGACTTTGGGTACCAGGGTGTAGGAACGTTCGCAAGTTCCAGCACCCAATACCTACGATCAGTTCTTGATTCAGTAGTCCAGTCCGCAAACTACTCGGCCGCAAAACTGGCAGGGTCGAGGAGCGCGTCGGTTCTCGCGGACTCCATAGCAAAGATCGTAACACTGTACGCGGACATATATTAATGAGGGTTCGAGGGAATTATGAGTACAGCCGGGTCCCCAACAGCCGCTTGGATTATTTGTTCGAGATTGACTCTAGCGCATTGATTAAATGACCTGACCACAAGGCGGCGGCGACAAGCAAACTTATTTAATTGCAGTTCACGGTCGCCATGCATTGCCGTCATCGGGCTTTGCGGCATTCTATAAGGCTGTCATCGTGCCGGATCCCAGCCCTCCGAACCCTGGTAGCACCGTCGTTCTTGATCCCCGCCTGCTTATTCACCAGATCCTAGAGTCTGCTTATTTCGCAGTCAACTCTCGCTAAAAGTCATTCCAATATCTGACACCTGTGGACACGATGGGCAGCCAGAAGTTAGGCCACAGATCACGTGCGTAAACTCAGTAAACTAGCTTGACCAGTCAAGCAACGGACTCACGCTCTGCCTGCCACCGGCATATTATCTGTCGATTACTACAAGAAATGCGTGAGAACGTCAACTGGCTGGTAGACGGCTGTCAATTTAGAGCTTTAAGTGACCTGCCAACGACTGGCAATTAAATTGCCCTATGCGAGACTTACTTTCACGCCCGACTGCGCGGCCTGCAAGTACATCAACAAGGTAGGAACTGTTTTGGAACTTGAATTTTTCCATGCATGTCTTGCTTATATTCTTCTAAGTGCCTAAACGAGTCTCAAGACTAGGATGTGGATCACCCGAAAATTCGATGAGTCGTGCGGATGAATGGCCCGAGGTGTTAGAAGAAATCACATCTACTTCACTAGAATTTCCGGCAAGATGATGAACGAAAACGAGAGCCAGAGTGTAATTCTTATGTATGTTCGTGTCCGCGAAACCTGCGCGTACTTGCACCGACCACCACGAGTACCGACCTGGACGACTTGGGGACTCGCGACGTCACAAACAAGGGCGACTCAGGCCCTAAGGTCGACAGACGTGTCTGCAATCGCCGGCCGGTTAGCTATGGGGATTCATGGAGATTTGTATAGATACGACGCAGGTAACGTTCGGTCCGGTGTAGTCTAAGGATCGGCCCTTAAGTAGTACGGTGTAAGATAGTTTCGTCGAAAGGCGGGCAATAATCATCGCAATACTGTTTCTGTGACCTAGTAGTAGGATAACCGATTTGTCAAATCCGTTTCCAGCCAGGCCTGAGTGTGTAAGCGTTGAATGGCCCGTAGCTGCTTATTCGTCAGACCCTACAGCCTACGTATTATGCAACTAGTCTACACTGGATTGGTTCCGCCATCCACCAACTGTGTACGCCTTCGGAATCGCACGGCCACAAATAGCATATCTTCCGGTGACAATAACCTTGTCGTCCGAGTGCTTGCAGCACACAGGATTCTACTGCTACAGTGCGAATAGAATGGCCAAATACGGCGTTAAACTCAGGGCAAGGGATGGATAAAAGGCTGAGAAAAAGATAAATATCACTCTCATTCCACCTGTACTACCTACGTTCATGCTAACGTGATGCTGTTGTCCTCGTATCAGACAGGCGCGTGTAAGGAAGACGTAAGCTGGCCTCAGGTCAGATAAGCGAATACAATAGAGTCAGTAAACCAACAGCGTGCGCCCGTCGTGCTACTAAGTACGTTGGAACGGTGTTCATTAGCACGGCGGGACTGTGATGCTCCGTATTGCCTCCCAGCCCAGTCTGAAGTCTTTTTTCAACGAACGCAAGCCAGGTCCGAGGTCATGACCTGGGAAGGAAACTATGCACATGTCGAGATGTCAGTGTGTGTACAAACCACGAATTACCGGGAATCTCTTTATGGTAAAAGAGCAAATAAGACAAATAAGGCAAGAGCCCTGCCCAACTTTCGCGGATGCCCCCGAAAACACCGGGCTGGAAGGGCAGGACTGGGCGCAAAATAAGAACAACGAAGACTAGCCTTATCTGCGTAATGCCCTGATGACAGCTGTTTAGGCATGGGTTAGTAGATCTATTCGTGTGGGTTCGCCACTCACAAGAACAAGCATAACATGGATGTAATAACTTGGTGTAGAAGTGAAATGTTGCATAATACAGAGAAGTGCGCTGTCATTATGCAACGAGTTCACCCATTCACTAAGTGTAAGGAACCCACTCGCGAAGGACGCAAGGCACTCACCCATGATAA